TCTATTTAACTATTAGTCTGTGGATGATGTCCCAATAATAGCTTAAGGCAGATCTGCAAGACCTTACACAGTTCATCCCAGAAATCTAAGATGAACTGACCTCCCCTATCTAAGATAATCATTTCTGGTAAGCCAGTCCATGGGTAAATATAAGTAATAAAGAGATGTGCCATATTATGAGCAGTAGTTATCTTATAACAGGGGATGGTAAAGGCTCTCTTCCCTAGTTAGTCCACCATAATGAATGCAGTGTCAAAACCTGTCTTAGAGCATGGGAATAAATAGAAATCCATAGTAATGTATTACCAAGGTTGGTTAGGGATTGGAAGGGGCTGTAGTAGACCTAGCAGAGGGTCTCTATATGTCTTTATTTAATAGCAGACAAGGTAATTATCTATGTAGTGGTCTACATCCCATCTCTAGGAAGTCTAATAGTAGCAAGCATAGATAAGTCTCTTCATCTTAGCCTTGCCTAGGTGTGCGGAAGATGGTGGGCAGTGGATTTTATCTAGTAGATAAGCACATAGGTTACCTTCATTAGGCACCACTAGGCGTCCTTAGAAGAGTAGAAGTCTATCTTAGAGTTCCCATTAGTTACTACCCACCTGTGTGAGCTCTTACTCAGGCTAGAGGCTGTCATGTAGTTAATTTGCTTTGGATACCTAATCCACTATTGACATTAGGCTGGGGGTAATAGCTGCTAAGATTCAGGGGTTAAGGTGGTCTAGCTTAAATATTAACTAAATTTAGTGATTATCAGTCCCTTCCAGGTCTTGCGGCCTGGAGAGTGTGTTAGCTAGTGTATTGAGCTTCCCTAGCTGGAAAGTAATAAGGAAGTAGAAGCTGGATAGGAACTTATTCTATTAGGCCTGTTGGGGGTTTAGTTACTGTTTCTACATAAAATATTGTAATGCTTGGTGGTCTATAAATATCTTAAATAGTTTAGCTCTTTATAGGCCCTGCAGCTCAGCTCACCATTCTTCTAAAGTATATATAATAGCTAATAATTCTTGGTCATGGATGCCATAGTTACACTCTGCTAGATTCATGATTTTGGAATAGTAGGTAATAGGATGCCACTCTTCCCCTGCTACTAAGAGAGCACACTAGTAACCGCGCTGTCAGAGGCATCTGTCTCCAGCTTTATGGGCAAGGATAGGTTATAATAGGTGAGAAGCAGAGCTTCTGTAAGGGTAACCTTTAAATAGCAGAACATCTTCTTATAGTTATTATTCCATATAAAGGGAACATCCTTCCTTATTAATGCAACTAGGGGTTTAGCAACATGACTATACTCCTATATAAACCTCTAATAGAAGTTGCAGAAACCTAGAAATAACTAGACCCCCTTATAGTAGTGGGAGTCTTCTACTTCTATACCACAATGACCTTTTCTGGGTCAACCTGGATGCTGTCTATTAAGATAATAAAGCTAAGATACTGTGTCTTTGTTACATGGAATTCATATTTCTTTATTAAGGCTTGTAGGCTGTGCTCCTATAAGCACTGTAGAATGGCATGGACATGGAGCTGGTGGTCTAACTTATTATCAGAATAGATTAGTAGGTTATTAATGAATGTGGTTAGATATTGATCCAGGCAATCCATGAAAATGCTATTTATAAAGTGCTGGAATATGGCTAGTCCATTAGTGAGTCTGAAGGGCATTACCTTATATTTAAAGCTACCATATCGCGAGCGGAATGTGGTGAGGTCCTCTGAGGCTAGGTCTATATAAATCTAATAAAAACCCTGGTGGATGTCTAGCTTGGTGAAGATCTTTACTTTAGAGATACACTCTAAAATCTTATTAATTAAGGGGAGAGGGTAATGGTCCTTACATATTATAGTATTTAGTTTATAGTAGTTAACATAGAAATATAGTCCTCTACCTAGCTTTTCCGCCATAAGAATGGGAGAAGCAAAGGGAGTGTTACTAGGTATAATGAATCCCTTATAGAGGTTATCTAGTATATATTCCCTTACTGCTTCTAATTCTTCTATATTTATCTTATATAGGGGCCTGTAGCCGACTGCATTCTCCTGTTCTAGTTTAACTTTATGGTTAAATTCCCCACGGTGGGGAGGCAAAGTATCAGAATCATATTTAGAGAAAACATTAACTAGGTCCTAATAAGGTTCTGGTAGGACTTACTTAATCTTGTCTTCAGTAATTGCTGGACTATAGTTGATTAACTAAGATGTTAAAGACTGAGCTGCAATGATCAGCTGCTAAGGGAGGGAAAGGGGTTGTTCACCCCATTTCTCATTAATTAGTTTATTAAGCTCATGGAGGGAAGATAAGAAGATAGTGGTATCTTTCTTGTGTGTGTATTAGTGGAAGGCTACTGCGCCTATTACAGTAATATTAATGATAGTCTTGCTTGGTGGGTAGGTAGGTTGTGATATTAGTTCTATGCCTCTTCCTTGTAGGGCTTATTCTATCTTGAGGGTGTAATGCTGCTGATTAATTTCCTCCATTCTTGTGGGTTAGTATTGTCTGGTCTTATAGAAAGGTGAAGTGGTGGTTGTTAGCGTTGCTGGGTTAGGCTCCTTAGGGGAATAGGGCTTAGGCGCCTCCTTAGGAGCCATGGAAGGAAGCACTAGGGACTGAATATGTGAGTATTCAGAGGTATCTAGGGACCCTTGGATTGTTCTGGAAAAGGGGTGCCATGACCTTGTGCTATGGCCCTGTGGTTCTCCCATCAAGCTGTGTATATTTGAAGGCTTGGTTACTGCCCTGGGAAGAACCACAGGGCTAGGGGTGGTTAGGGAGAGAAGAGAAGATAGAGCTAAGGGAGGGAAGATATCCCTTTTATACCTTACCCATTACCTAGCGCGGCGCACCATATTATGTTAGTGATCTTAGTTAATGGGTTGCCTAATTAGGAAGTCACAAGGGACCTCCCAGTTCATCTATATAGCTATCTTATCTTAGTAGGCGGGTGGCAAAGACCAGATCAACTATTTCCCTATACAATCCACTAGTATATAGTGTTCTGCAAGCCATATCCTTCCTAGTATGACATCATGGCATCCCAGGTCTAGTATAAGAAATGGTATCCATCTTATGATATGATTATCTGTGGCTATAGTTAATATAATAACATGGGTGAGGGGAACAGACTGCCTTCTATTAAACTCTATAACTGCATACTCCCTTTCTAGGGGCACAGTAGGTATTCTAAAATATTAAGATATCTGGATAGCTAAGGAAGTAGTTATGTATGCGTACGCATTTACTCTAGTGTTAACTAGGGAGCTTGTAGATACTAAGAATCCATTAACAAGGATAAGAGATTTTAATTGGAAACTATCTTCTTCATTACCTAATAGATTCTGTAAGTCTAAGTTACACAAGTTGACTAATTTTGCACCTAAGAAGGAGACTTCTCCTAGGCATCCTTGTTTTCTGGTTTAGGAGTGGGCTTAACAGGCTATTCTAATACTTTGAGCTGCACAGCCTGCTTTGTGGGGTAGCTGCAGCTAGTATGCCTAATCTAGAAGCATATAAAGTATTTACCCTCACTTATAAGACACTTCCTAGTCTTATTGTTAAGGTTGCTAGGAGCTGGGGAAGCTATAGTAGTATAGCCATAAGTAGTAGCATTATCTACAGAGGGAGTAGCTGTAGCTAGGGTAGTAGCATAAGATATTACTCTAGTCCCTCTAGTTTGAGTATTAGTGCCGCCATTCAAACAAGCCTTAATTCTCTCTATATTCTTAATGTTCATTACTATACAGCTACAGTAGTCTGTGAACTCCTGGAAGGTCTTGTCATTATTATTATATATAGGCATAGTGAGCTCTTGCATGTAGAGAGATAGTTTATTATATAGGTTATCTTTCTAGGTCTCCTCAGGGATGCTTGCTTCCGCCATAAGGTATAGGAACTTAGAAATAAAGTCATTCTATTTAACTGATGGCTTTATATAGAGGGTGTTATATTTCTACTTAGTAACTCACTCATAATTAGGGTCTGTGAATACATTTTCTAGGTGCTTGAGGAGGTTGGTGGAGTCCTAGTATAGGTTAATAGTGTCTTCTCATAGATAAGAGGTAATGTGCTTCCAGGCGTTGCCCTTAGTATGACTAGTTACATAGGTGATTCTCATTATAGGGTTGGGGAAGTGGTTAGCATTAGTAATAAGCTTCTGCTTAATAGCTAGTAACTAATCTTTAAAATGAGGGTCCTTTCCATCACTAAGGAGAGGGGGTCTGGAATCTTTGCTGACTTACTACTAGCAGCTGAAGCCTGGGAACCAGTGTTTCCAATGCCAGATCTGTGGGCTACCTGCAGGGTGAAGTTATTTTATTCATAGATTGCCTCTTTAAGCTTCTCTTAGGCCTCATCACATTCAAGGTTAGCAGTAATAAGCTAGGCCTGGGTCTATTCATATTCCTAATAGATCTGTTCATTCTAGCGCTTGAGATTATTAGTCTCACTCTAGCTCTTAATAAGTTGCTTATTTAGGAGAGCTGCCTCTACATAGTTCTAGTTTGCCTTTGTATCTAAAGCAATATAGATCTAGGAGATGGCTTCCTAGCAGCACTCAGGGTCTGTTCCCCAGTAGGCAGTGAATTCTTCATAGGAGATGCCATCAGCTAGCTTGTGGGTGTCTTTATTAAGGCCACCATTCTCTATCTAGTTGAGTAGGGCAGTCAGCCTTCTAGTGAAACCTGAGCCTAGTCTAGTATACTGAGTGGAGGGGTTATAGGTTCCATTCCCAGCTCCTTACTGGTTCTCAGGCTCCTTAGTGGAAGCTGCAGGTCTGGCCATCATTTATTCTTTTATGATCTCAGTTAATAGATTATATCATCATCTCCAACCGTTGGCGTTGTTGGTACGCGAAGGGTTCTTTGCAAGAGGAGATAAGATCAGTGCTTAATGTGAAAAAGAACGCGTTTATTACTGGATCTTGAACCTTCTAATGAAAGAGATGATGCAGGAAGTGATGCTTAGTTTTATATAATGGCACTGCTTATATTCTAATGGTATAGTAGTATTTTGATAGAAAACTAAGCATAGAGAAGAGGGGGAAGAAGTATGTACATAGTAGGGAGATATATAAACAGAGGGTAGAACAGTGCAAACAATCCAAACAGCCCTGGAGAGGTAAGTGGTCAAGATGGGCAGAAAGCTCTGTGTAAGGAGGTCCGCGGGGAACATGGTGACGGATTGTCACATAACCTAACCTCTTTCCTGCCTTATCACACCACACTAACGCCGTAGAACAACAATTGCAGCCAATAAAAGAGAAAGATAAGATGAAAGGAAAGAAGAGGCAGCGCCCGACACATTGGTAACGAGTCACAGGCCAGCAGGGCGAGTAAGTCAGCGAGGTCAGCTGCGTTGCCAACGGCTTCCAGCGTTTTCGGTATCTGTCAGCCTCTGATGCATACATACATTACAGACGAACGAGGTAAAATCGTGACAAGTTTTCAGTTAGTGGTATCCATTTCTCCGACCGCGACCCGAGTAATAAGCGGTACCGTGTGCAAAATATGGGTGCATGCAGGCCTGTTTGGCGGAAATTCGACGGGCGGGATCGTACTCTAGTAGAGCTTCCAAAAGGTCAAGACCGTCCTCCTCCAGGCCAGGGACCAGTGTATGGGGATCTTGACGCTTCCACTTGGGGAATGTTGGTTTGTAGTCAGGGAATGAGGTGACGCCAGGCCAGATGTTTTCGTCAGGAGTACCAAGGAGTCTGTGGTGCGAGACGTGAATTAATAAATAACCTCAATGCACACCAATTGCCACGATAGATAAACATACCTGAAGATCTTGAAAATCTCGTCAATCTCGGAATCGCCAGGGAACAATGGCTTGCGTGTGCACATTTCGGCGAAAATAGCACCACAGGACCACATATCGACGCCAGTAGAGTATTGACGACCACCAAGCAGGATTTCGGGAGATCGATACCAGAGAGTCACAACCTAGAGCACTATATAAGTATTCTACGTTGAATGACAGTCAATATGGTCCAATGGTCTCACCTCGTGTGTGTAGGTTCTCAGGGGGACACCGAATGCTCTTGCCAGACCAAAGTCGGCCAGTTTCAGATTGCCATCACGGTCAATGAGCAGATTTTGAGGCTTGAGATCACGATGCAGAATACGATGGCTGTGGCAATAACGAATTCCCTCCACCAATTGGGCCATGAACTTCTTGACCATAGCATCTCCGAGTCCCATGTTCTTGCTCAACGCAGAACCTTCGGGCAACGCCTTTCCACGTCCACCCTCGCTGACAGGAAGAGCCTCCATGTACTTCTTAAGATCGAGATCAAGAAATTCAAAAACAAGATAGAGTTTGTGGCCATCGGCATGGACAATGTTCAGGAGTCGTACAATATTCGGATCGCTCATCTCCTTGAGAAGGGAGATCTCACGAATGGCAGTGCTCGGAACACCTTCATCTTCCGCTTCAAGTCGGATTTTCTTCAGGGCAACAATACGGTTGGGATGGGTGAGTTCACGGGCCTTGTAGACGACACCGTAGGTTCCTAGCCATGGGAATAACGGGTCAGCTCGATCATTTCCATGATGGTGATTGGAGGAAATGAACTAGCAATAGCATAGTAAACATGCAGGACCTAAGTCACAGTACATACCCTCTCCAATTTTCTCGATCTTCTGGTAATTCTCCATGGCGACAGCCTCCTTGCCAAGGATGCTCGATAATCAACTTTTGCTCGAAGGACGGGTGGAATCACGAGCAAACTACTGCCAAGTGGGGTCCAACAGTGTTAAATGCACAGTGTCCACTAGGTCGGTCGGACAAGGAGGAATAAATGGGTTCCAATTGATGTTAGCAGCTGCGAGGAGGGGCGGATAGGGATGAATGGAAACTCCAAGCTAGGGGAGAGCTGGCCGATTCCGCGTCAGACACCGCACAAGATCATCCAAGGGTCAAGGTCAAGATTGACCGAAATCGATGATTGACGTGCGTCCGAAGGGTTGTCGATCCGATCGTCGAGTCGAGTAATCTTGAAACGAACGAGGCTTCTTGTTATTTTCGTCCCTGCTTTTGATGGGGTGGGGAGACAAAGGCGGTCAGAGCAGAATAAAATGGATGTACACAAACAAAACGATTCCCACGCGACAAAGGCGGTGAGCGCGTTCCATGATGGTTCTTTTTCTTCGTTTCTTTCTTTGTCTCTTAGATTGGAACAGCGACACTAACTGGATGATGGGGCATACCAGAGCTTAGACGATCAATCATCCATGTTGCGGACTGACCACTTAGCTATTGTGGGACGAATTCTGCTTTCAAAGTGATAAGCATCGCGAGATAGCCTTCACCTTGGCGATCACTGAATTGACATTGACTCGGCTTCTATACTTCTAAAGCTTATCCCCGCAGTTCGCACAATACCATGCCTCATATCAAAGAGCTCAATGCTCATGAGCGCCCTCCTGAGGCCATTCGGCAACGCTACAAGTCTCTTCAAAAGGCCACGCTTTCTGAGATCAATACTGATGGGACAATAATTGACCTAAAGGCTCTAAATCCCAACAATCTTCCCGACAATATATCTCTGTCGCATTGGGTATCGAGTCATGGCCTTCGCCCGGTTTTCAAACAATTTGCCGGAGAACATGAGGACTCTCTTCCTGAAGCTATACCTGTCTATACACACAGATCCGTCTCTGGTTAGCATATCACAGCCCTGGTCTCCTTGAAAGCGAGCGCAACCAAGAAGCAGAGCAATCGACTCCTAACATGTGGTAGGTTTGCAAATGGTTCCTTCCATATTCCCTTCTGCCGTTCAAGTAGAGTTACTCTCTCGATTGTTCCATCGAGATCTGTCAAATCCGGAGCATCGGACCAACCTTCACCTGCATTACCATGTCACCTACCCTGGTCAAGCTGAAAGTCAAACCGACACGGCCGTGTCCCCACCTGAAGATGGCTCCACAGTACCACAGATTGTATCTTTCTTTGAAGACGACTCGTCCAGCGTCTTATTTCCCAGAGATCCGCAGGTCCATAAGCCGATTACAGTTCAGCAAATGCTCACCAAGAAGCTGCGCTGGGTGACCCTTGGCGGTCAATATGACTGGACTGCTAAAGAATATCCTTCGGGACCCCGCCTGCATTCCCTGCTGACATTGCCAATCTGCTGCACGCAGCTTTTCCTCAAACAAAAGCAGAGGCGGCCATATTGAATGTTTATTCCCCTGGCGACACTCTGAGCCCTCATCGGGATGTCAGTGAGGAGTGCGATGTGGGCTTAATCAGCATCAGTTTTGGCTGCGATGGCCTCTTCCTGATCAGCCATGATGATGGGACTGATTGTGAGGTCATCCGTCTTCGCTCGGGGGACGCAGTGTACATGGATGGCACCTCTCGCTTTGCATGGCACGCAGTACCGAAAATTGTCCCTGGCACTTGCCCGGATTGGTTGGCTGATTGGCCATGCTGTACATCCGAGACACCTGATAAGACAGCATTTGGCAAGTGGAGGGGCTGGATGGCCGGCAAGCGAGTAAATTTGAACGTCCGACAAATGTCTGCCACTGAGTCTCATGGTTGACGGTCAGGGGTATCAAATTCCATGATATCCCTCTCGGGTCTATGTCTATAGGCTATATGCCAGTCAGAGACGAGCGTCATGTGCTCCAGCGAGGGCAAGGCTGGTCATCTGTCGCAACTGGATAGACCATCCTGTCAGCCAGGAGAATCTACCGTCCGGTTTGACGTACAAAAGACCACCATGTATCCACACCATTATCCCTTCCGGCTGGGCACAAATGACGATTTGTCAGCCACTCCAGCTCAGTGTGGTGTGCACTGTTATTGGATCATGGGATTGGATTATATTCCTGCTTGTGAGCTTACAAGCCAAGTGGGATCTGATACAGGAAACCAGTGATTGGGGGATTATTGTAGCAGGCCCCTACGAAACGGGCAACGCAGAAGCTCGAGACATTCAAAGAATAGATTGAACAGTTAATACTATGCTGGGGGTCAAGACCGTTCTTTGAACAGTATCTTCTTGAAGTTCGACAATTCAGTTGTTCCAATACCCATTGCGGGAAAGGACAGAGGTTCGCCAGGCCTAGGTACTAGCCTACTTACTATCAACATTACTGAGTTTCCTCAATGCTGAATATGTACCGTAGGACTCCAACTACTCCATAGACTCACATCCGATGGTTCTCCAACTGTATATCTTGTGGGGGAAGCAGAATACGAGTTGCATCTCAGACGTTACTGGATAGATAACGCTGCCCCGCGTTCCCCGCTGCGACTGCATATCGCATCGTACGAGATCCCGCATAATCATCCACGGCCTCGGTTATCTTCATGGTATCTCAGTCCAGGGCATGTCTCTCGACCTGCCTAATCGGAAAAGATTTGAAGTTCCTGATATCTAAGATAAGGAAGACGACCCCATTCTCCAACTGCTGCCCGTAGCCGATTTAAGGTGGACATTCCCTACCGGACGAGTTATCCCTTCCTACTCCACTCCTCAATTATATCCCATACATTTTAGCAAACCGAGCTGTTAAGTCACAATGACTGCAGACTGGAGGTCCTTGGCTGATGCCAAACGTCAGTCCATCCTAGATGCCATTCCCGCCAAGTGGAGGATTCAGACTCCGATCCCATCACCATCCGAACTACGGGATGTTACTGGTTACATTGAGCAGTTCTTGAGTCCTCGCGAACTAGAGATTACCGGAAACGATGCCGTGGACATCGCGAAGCAGACAACCTCTGGTAACTGGACTGCTGTGGAGGTAACGGAAGCATTTTGCCATAGGGCTGCTCTGGCGCACCAGCTTGTACGTCTGCTAGCAACTATACTGTATGCCGTTTGTTGATAGTGTCCAGGTGAACTGTCTGCATGAAGTATTCTTCGAGGCAGCTATTGAAGACGCCAAAAGGCTCGATGCCTACTTTGCAGAGCATAAGAAGCCTATTGGGCCTCTTCACGGTCTCCCGGTCAGTCTGAAGGACCAGTTTCATGTGCGAGGCGTGGAGACGACGATGGGATATGTCGGCTGGATCGGTACGTTCCAGGGCAAAAAGGAAGATCCAAGGAGAGGCTTGTTTGAAAGCGAGCTTGTCAGGGAGCTTCGCAACCTCGGAGCTGTGCTGTACTGCAAGACAAGTGTGCCTGCGACTCTGATGGCAGGAGAAACAGTCAACCATATCATCAAATATACCACTAATCCGCAGAACCGACTCGTCTCGTGTGGAGGAAGCTCGGGCGGGGAAGGCGCGCTTATTGCCCTGAGAGGGTCTCCTGGAGGGTTTGGCACCGATATTGGCGGTAGCGTCCGTATTCCAGCTGTGTTTAATGGCCTCTACGGTATACGTCCCTCGTCCGGTAGGGTACCTTACGAGGGTGCGGCAAACTCCATGGACGGCCAGAATACCATCCTATCCGTTATTGGCCCGCTTGCAGCAACAGCGCGCTCTCTGAAACTGCTTTTCAAGGCTGTGCTCAGCCAAGAGCCCTGGTTCCATGATCCCCTGGTGCTCGAGGTACCCTGGCGCGAAGATATTGAACGAGAGGTCGGGGCTCTGCTGAAGCAGTCAGCAGCCGATCCCTCCAAACTTGCTTTTGCTGTTATGCGCGACGACGGGATAGTCAAGCCTCATCCTCCTATTGCACGGGCTATGACGACCGTCGAGGAGGTGCTGAAAAAGCTCGGCCACACGGTATGGGAGTTATAGCAATGGCGTATGGCGTATGGCAAGCTGATAGAGATGGATATTAGGTCATTGAATGGAAACCTCCATCACACAGTATCGCAATCGACTTGGCCGTATGTTCCTCCGTTGTCCTCTTTTCTTGGGCTCTAAGTATACTGACTACGACAGAATCAAGCTTTCACCTCCGACGGCGGAGCAGATATCGAGTATCACTTTGGTTTATCTGGAGAAGAACCTGCTCCACAGATCATAGTTGACACAAAATTCACCCACAAGACAGCTCTGGAAGTTGCAGCGTTGAATGTCAAGAAGCGAGAATACCAGAAGCTCTACATGGAATACTGGAATAGTACCGCTGAACTGACAGGCACCGGACGGCCGGTGGACGGACTCATCTGTCCGTGTGCACCACACGCGGCCGTGATTCCTCAGAAATATCGTCATGTTAGTTATTCATCATTCGTGAACCTGCTGGACTACACGAGTGTCGTCTTCCCGGTGACTCGCGCAGACAAAACAATTGACGTCTCTCAACCACGAACTGACTTCTTGAGCGAGGTGGATAGGCTAACTTATGGAGATTGTGAGCTCATCATCTTGGTTCACCAGATACTTTTTGTGAGATGATTGCTAATCCTTCTCAGATGATGCCGACATCTACCATGGGGCGCCAGCCGGGCTTCAGATCGTCGGACGACGATTCCAGGAGGAGAAAATGCTGACACTAGCTGAGTATATCGGCGAAAAGGTCAAAGAGGCATCACAATAGGGCTAGTTTCTAGTTTACTCGATTGATGTGCGGCCAGCTGGTTGCTCTTATTGATATTGGACGCGGAGGTAGCATCATAAATCGCAGCCATAACATCACGTATCCATTCGCTCTTGAGCCACTGTAGCAGTAGACTAGGAAAAAGCATTGTCACATAAGAGATATCCTCATGTTCTATCTAATCGTCTCTTTATGTATGTCAACCTCGGAGCAAAAGACGCGGACTCGACGTTCCCCACCGCAAAGCTTGGCGCTTGTCGATCGTCACGTTCACATTCTCTCACTTCTTCCTCTCTTCCTTGCTTCTTCTTTGTTTTTCTCTTCCTCGTTCCAGCTCAGCCATCTTTCCTTTTTCTTCCATCACTTGCAGCTCTATTACGTCCCTCACTTCCAACCTCAGGCCCCACTCTTCATTGTTCCAGCTGTGACGCACAAGCGTGGAGCCTTCTCTTTCATGCATTGAGCTGCAGAGCTTCCCTCGGATGCGAGCTGGTCAACGCGTTTCTGGTGTCACCGCGACTCCACGTTCGCCAGCAACTTGAATTTTGTGAAACAATGGCAGAAACCACACCCTCTCATCCGAACGACACCCCAGAAAATTCTCCTGGTGGAGGCGATGACAACCAGTCCCAATCGGCCGGCCAATCCAAGAATCCTGCTTCCGTCAAGGATCGAAAATGCCAGTACTGTCATCAGGCCTTCACGTCATCGTCACTCGGCCGACACCTGGACCAATTTCTCTTCAAGAAAAAGCCCGACGGAATCCACGATGTTGAGGAGATTCGGCGCATTCGAAGCGGCATCACCAGACGGCAGGCCCGCACATCCTCCGGCAAACGGGATACTCCTGAACGGGCCATGGGCAAGGGCCCGTCGGAGCATTTTGCAGGCGGGGAACACGGCGCGAAGCCGCGCGAGGGTGCGATCAGGATGATGTTTAACACGCCTACGTGGCATGCGACCGGTGTCATCAATGATATTCCTAATCCGGGTCAGACACCGGAGGGTTCGCGGTTCGCGGCCTCGCAGCCTCGAACGGGGGTGATGCATCTTCCGGACTATGCGAGTAGGGGTGCCAGCGCCAAGGATCCAGATACAATGAGGGCGTTGGAGTTGGCTCTGCGAGAGGTTTTGGATAATATCAAAGCTGCAACGTGCGTGCCCGTCGTTACTCGGTCCTTGCGACTTGAAGAATGTGCCGGAAAACCGAACAAGACCTTGCTAACAATAATGCGCACAGTAGTTCCCGGATGCGACCTCGGCTTTCGCCGTTCGATTTCGATATTCAGTCGGAGACATTCCCCTCGCTCTGTCTTCACCTACTGCCCCCACCTCCCAGTCTCTTCTCTACCAATCCGTTCCCGTCACCGTCATCTTTCCCACTGAAGCCCCCTGGGGTAGAACACCTTGATATTGTACGACAGGCGATTCGAGCGAAGATTGACCAGTGGCAATCCGATCAGCTGTCCGCGCAATCTGCGAACAACTCTCCCGGTCGGCCCGCGCTCGGCCTGGACGCTAACATGATCAGTCGCAGCGCACAGCAACATGAAGATATGAGCCTGAGGCATCTCGAGCTGGCATTCAAACACTGGGCCTCGCTGCCACCGGAGACGCGACTAGAGGCGTGGCATCTTGAGATCACCCGCGCGTTCGCCCGTGAGGTGGAGAAACGGAAAATATTGGACGAGCAGCTCGCTCGCGTCCAGCAGGAAGCCAACCAGCTGCGCGCACAGGTCGAGAAGCTGGGTTCCTGCCAATGGCCCCGCGAATTCGCCCTCTTCCCCCGGACACCCTACCCCTCCCACCCGCTGTTGCGCGGGAGCTAGACGCCAAGGAAAGCCAGATCAGCCCCGGTTCGCCTCGGTGGGACTACGATAGCGTTGTTGCGAAGTGGAAGCGGGTTGTGATGCACGACAAGACCATGGGCCGCATCGGCGTCGGGTATGGCAATCCTCCGCTCGATGATCGCAGCAGCGCGGACACCAAACCCCGCGCGACAGAGGAGCCGCCTGCCTCTGCGCCAGCGTCTGCACCTCCGTCTGCACACCCCAGGTCGCGAGCCCTGCAGCCCGCTCCTGGCCCCGCGCTTGCCTCAAGCCCGGACCAGTCGTCCTCGCATACCGGCGGCGCCTCGGCCCCATCCAGCCAGAACACCTCGCCTTATCTCCGGAGTCCCCAAGCAGGCCCGCAAGCCAAGCGTCCTCGATTAATGAATGGTGCAGATGGCGGCCACGCTTCGGCAGCGAATCCGTCTGCCGCTCCGACGAATACGTGGACTCATCCGCACAGTCACCAGTCCCTTGCGGTTTCGAACTTGGCTAGTCCGTCTGGACCGCCGCCTAGCTCTGGGGCGTAGTTGATCTTATCAGACCGGGTAGGCGCCGCCATCTCAGCCATGTAGGCAATCAGGAGATATATGCAATGGCGAATGCACGCTGGAACTCTTATCTAACTGTACAAATACTGGAACGATATATACTTCATCTTGAATTCTCGCAAGGAAGTCTGCAATCATTGAATATCTAATCATAATACATAACCATGACCGAGCAAAAATCACTCCACCGAGCAAAAAGGTTATTGCCTCCGGTAGTACTATCACTGTACACTCTTCTTCGCCTTCCGCGCACTAATCCACCGCTTCAAATCCCCCACGCCATGAAGATAAAGCCAGGAGAAGAAGTAGACCGCCGCGAAATTAAACATGGTGAAAGCCCAGAAGATCCCCTGCTTTTGTCAGTTGTTTCATTCGCGTGCTGCAACAATAGTCGGAGACACTTACGTAGGCACGCCACTTATGCGAGTAGAAGACGTTGAAACTCGCCGCCTGAATGGGAATGTTAGTTCTGGTGTAAGATCATGTATGAAGAGGGGGGAAGGAGGGGAGAACGTACAAATGCATCACCGATGGAATACGGACAATACGAGCATAGGCCGCCCGCCGCGTCTTCGACGTACCCGCCAGCCTGTTTCGCAAAGGCGCCGGCGTAGCTCTGGCAGGACTCGCCAGGTGGGGGCGAGAACTGGGTCATCTCCCTGCTGACGCAGCGGACGGGGATGTTATGGGTGAGGACGCCGAGGAAGCCATCGAGGAGGTAGTTGAAGGGGGTGAGCCAGTACATCCAGGACTGCCAGAAGTGGGGGAGGGCGACGTAGGGGACGACGACGCCGCAGAAGGCGACGACGAAGGTGAAGAAGCAGGGGACGAGGAGTGAGGCGAAGAGCTCGTTGGGGAAAAGGCGGCGATGAACTGGCCGAAGCTGACGTAGTAGAGCTCGAAGACCATAAGCAGCATCCAGGTGTAGCCGGAGCTGAAGGAGTCGCGGGGGTACCATATGCCCCAGTACCTGGTTTGTGTTAGTGGTTGTGAGACGGCTAGAGCTTGGTTGAAAGGGGGTGAGACTGCGGGTGAGCTTACCAGCAGTTGAAGTAGATGGATCCTGCGACGACGGAGTAGGGCAGCTCGGGGAGGATGGCGCTGGTGACCATCGCGGTCCATGAATAGATCTTCGAGTTGGCCTCGCGTGATTCGTAGAGGTTCCGGAAGTGCAGGAACCTGGGCTGGAGCTGCTGGATCAGGGGCGGCGAGATGGTGAGAGTCATGAAGATCGAGAAGAGCCGCGATTGCATGTCGATGTAGCTATTTCCCAGATGCCAGAAGGTAAACGTGTTGAAGAGTCCAGTGAAGACATGAAGAAGGAATTTGCCCTGTTGCTGTTAGCTTCAACTCTCCGATGACGAAACTACACACTCACGAGAGTATACTGTGGGGATCTCCAGTATGCGACGAACGCCCGCTTGGTGACAGCCACGATCTGGGTCCAGATGGGCATGGCGTATTCCCGGTCGTCGTCTTTGTTCTGCCTGATTTCGCGATTGCGGCGGGAGCCGATGATTTTGTCAATCTCTTCGGCCAGTTGTTTGCATTGAGGAGACTGGGTCCAGACATCTCCCCAGTCCTTCCCCTTATAGTCCGGATTGCCGGCGCCGATGACCTCGAGCATATACTGGGAAATTTGTCAGTCTAAGCTTAAGCAGACGAGGATCAAGACGTACTTCCGCAGGATTCGCATGAGGCGGACACTTCTTAGCACCGTTCGACTCGAAATACTCGATGAGAGTCTTCGAGTCCTGTCCCAGCTCTCCATTGTACACAACCCTGCCTCCACTTTGCAACAGCAGGAGGTCATCAAACTCTTCAAATAGGACCGCAGATGGCTGGTGAATCGTGCACAGAATCGCTTGTCCAGCGTCCGCAAGCCGTCGAAGGAACCGGACAATGTTGAACGCGGCAAGCGAGTCGAGGCCACTTGTAGGTTCATCGAGAAAGAGTAGAAGTTCAGGCTTACTTGCCAGCTCTACTGCAATGGTAAGCCGCTTGCGTTGTTCTGGGTTCAGGCCCACCCCTCCAGAGCCCACAGTTGCACTGGCAATTGGACGCATCTCAAGTAGGTCGATGATCTTCTCGCAATAATCGTACTTCTCCTGAATAGGGACTTCTTTGGGCTGCCGCAGAAGCGCAGAGAAACGGAGAGACTCCCGAACAGTTGCGGTGGGCTCATGAATATCCATCTGTTCAGCAAAGCCAGTTGCTCTTTGGAAACTCCTGGGAAGTGGCCTAAACTTGTAAGTGACGTCCATGGATGCGAACCGTGGCAGTAAGACCTACTTTCCATCTACTAAGAAGGTACCAGTGACGACGCCAAAATTGATCCGCTGTGCCAAAGTATTCAGCAGAGTCGTTTTCCTGTAATGGCCTGTGTTAGCTACTTGGTTTCAAAATGATGGTGGGCATGACTGACCCTGCTCCAGAAGCCCCCATCAAGGCAGTAAGGCGGCCGGGTTTAACATATCCGTGTACGTCCTGCAGAAGCTTCCTTTGCCCGCCCTCATACGGGATGGTGTAGTTGACATCTTGCCAAGTGAAGATAGACGTGCTCTGAGCAATGTCTTTGACTTCACCCCCAGGCTCTCCGGATTGGGTCTTCTCGGAATCAGCATTGACAGCATTCTCTTTCTGTCCCGATTCTACATCCTCCGGAAGTTCTTTATTTTTCACTGCTTCCTCAACATCCTTTGGTGCTTCGTTCCTCTTAAACGTTGTAACTGAGCTGCCGCCTTTGTTGGGTTGCTGCAACTCCGTACCAAGCATCGTCAAGGCAACGAAGAAAATGAACCACGCGATGATGATGCCAAAGTTTCGCCATAGATGAGACCGGCTGTATGTGAAAGCAGTCTTGATGTAACTCGAGCCTTGGACAACTAGCTGGTTCCGAGTGCTTCCCTGGACCGCACAGCTTTGGTGACCCGGTTGCGCATTGGGACCTTCCGGTACAATATTTGGCCTTACGCACTGAATGTCGAGATTGTAGAACTCATTGGCCATGATAGCTTCAAACGCATATTGAACGGGATTTATCCAGATCAGCCATTTGAACCACGGATGCATCTTCCATGGCGGGATGAGATAACCTAGAGCGACGTGAGAAAGGGTTCCATTTGGAGAGAACTTCATCCTACCTGTATAGACGACCAGTGCTTGTAAGGAAACTCCGGTAAGGCGAGTAGCTGCTCAATTAGCAAGAAGGTTTCGTCGAGGAAAGCACGGTTGGCACGTACCGACGTCAAGAGAAGCAGACAACGCCCCGAGAGCTCGAAAGAATGAATACATTGTCATTGTGAGAATGAAGACGAACAGGAACTGGATAAAGAATTGGGACGGCGTCCGCGAGAGATTTGCCATGCTTGGACAAGCAGTTAGCGTCAAAGTGCATGAGTCGAAGCCTGACAAGATGCATACAAGTATACAATCAACTCAAAAAGAGTGGCCTGGACGAAGACCAATGGAACGTCAACAACCACCTGGGCTAGAGCATAGGCGGATGGGCGGTAGAAGGAGCTGAAAGAGTCAGTTTTGTACTGTGTTCTGCATGAGATAGGCATACAAGCTTTTGTGTTTCAGCATGATCGGTCGACTTTCGAAAGACGCTGTAAGTTCTGCCATCGCGAGTAAAGCGTTGAAGAGGAGAATGAAGAACATGACGCCTCCTCGGGTGAATACACCACCGCTAGGACATGGGTCAGCCTGAAAATCATTCTTCAGTGGACAGATCGACGAACCTTGTGGGCGGGAGATTGTAGAATAAACTTCCTACAATCAAAGCTTGGAAGACCAAGATGCACCATTTTCCCACCAAGGTCTGTTTGTCGCCGTACATGATCAGAAATTGCCGACGAGTTAGAACGATGACCTGATCATGGAAGGGGATGGTGTAGTTCTTCTTCGGCATTTCCTGCCTCGCCTGTTCACGTTCGTGCTCCTGTGTCTCCAACTCTTTCTCGAACTCGTCAATCTCCTGCAGGGCAGCCCTGTAGGTATCACTCTTGCGATACACTCTCTGAAAGTCCTCACCAGATCTCGGGACTCGATCTTCCCATCCACTTTTGACACGCCGCGCGTGTGGATCGCTGACCGAGGTCAAGAAGTCCGGGGTGGTCCACCGCGGGGGACATTCAAACCCTAGGCGTTCGAAATATGCCTTTGCCTGTTTGGCGCTTCCATAGTATGCGCACTTGCCCTCTTCGATCAACATGACCTTGTCAAACAAGTTATAAAGATTCTCAGAGGCTTGGTAGAGGGCTACAAGCGTGGATACGTTCGCCATGTCGGTAAGAGTTCTCAGACTCTGTACATATTCCAGGGCGGTACTGGCATCAAGGCCTTTGGTCGAATTGTCCCAACATTGTGTACTGGCCTTGGTAATCATGGCCTCGGCGATGGATACACGTTTTTTCTCTCCTCCTGAGATACCGCGGATGAGCTCGTTGCCGACTTTGGTGCCCAGCGCATGTTCAATCCAGAACAATTTGGCAATGGCAGAGAGAAATGTGTTTTGATAGTCCTTTCGGCTTTCCCCCGGAATGCGCGAATCTTTGTCTGGTGTGCGAGTTTTAAGAGCAAACAACAGAGTATCCCGGACGGTCAGGGTTGCATAATGGAGATCATCTTCGGGGTTATAGGACACTGCAGATTTAATCAGCGACAGTATGCTTGCAGTATGAATAATAGCAACTGTACCTTCGGAGCGGTATTTGTCGGCCATGAGTTCGGCATCTGCGCCTCCATAGCGTACATCTCCTTTAATGCTTTTATATCCTGCCCTCTGATTGCCAATCACCTTCAGAAAAGTCGAGCATCCAGAACCTGGCCGTCCAAGGACCAGGAGCATCTCACTTGGTTTCACGCAGCCCTGAACACAGTCAGCCAGCATATTGATCAAAATTACAAAGGAACACAGACGGTGAAGTCATCGAGTATGGTCCGCAACGGGTGATGGCCAGCGCCAATTCCTTTCCTGCCTCTTGTCAAAAGGCCTTTGATGAGTCTAGGCACGGCAAGAAAGATATCAGAGTTGGTAGGCTGCAACGCAGCTCCCAGGCCAGCCCCTTTCACTGTCAAGCCCTTCCATATGACACCAGCATGTCGAGTTTTCTCCTCGTCAGAAACTGATTTCCTTTCCTTGCCAAACATGTGAGACATCAGCTTCGCAATCTGAGCCATATCCTCAGGGCCTTCTTCGCTATGGCTGGTCTGTCGACGGGAGAGGACACGGTTGATTTGGTCGTCACCGTACTGTCCATCACGAGTGGGCTTGGAACTGACATCCTCGAATGCAGTCGATGGTTCATCGTCGACTGAAGAAGAGTCTTCAGTGTCGGAACCGGAAACTGCTGGGGAAGCTGCAGGATTCGCAATGTCATGAGAAGATTGCCCTTGCGGGGGAGCCTCCACCTCCTTTCGATGCTCTACGGCGCGCTCAGCGTCCATGATGCAGACTGCAGATTAGATTACATGTATGATAACCGACTTGAATGTTGAAGGAATAGAGGAAGCGTAGAAAAGGCCTAGAGATATCGAATACGGGCGACAAGACAGCCGTAGGGATGAGAAGAAAACAAATTACGTCAGGGACTTTCCAATGCAATGTCTTCCCCGGATGTCTAATCTGTTTTGGCCGAGCATATTTTTGTGAATATCAGGTAGATCAATAAGCTCAGCGTCACATCACTATTGGTGAGAAGCGCGAGCTCGGCATGATCCAGCCAGAAGTCCGACAACTGGATTCATGCCGATGCGAGCATCATATCGGAAAACACAATAGCCGACTGTCCGATTGTATTGTGTTTCCCATCGATGCAGTGTTCTGATCCAGGGATTTGTCCAGTCAGGTGCGCGTGTTCACGATGGGATGGGCCAGAGGATCACCATGAGATCATCACTTGCGATCTGGATAGACCCGAGCATTCCGATAACCATTAGCCAAGACGTGTGAACAATTCAGAATAACTATGCAATTCAAGCTGAATCAGACGGTTGTCGAGAAATCGGGTCATCTTACAGAAGTGCATTGGGCTGGTGATCGAACCGAACCGATAAGAGTAGTTAGTGACGTAGAGGATGTTCCCTAAAAGGAAAAAGCTCTATACACACCAGTCTTCCCTTCTCCATGTTTTGGTATAGTACGACGTATATAATATCGCATCGCCTTTTCTTCTGTAAGACATTCAGGTCATTTGGCAGCTCAAGATATTCTTCAGCTTTCAAACACGTCATGAAGGAAAAGAAATTCCCAGACTGGGCCTGCAGTTAGCGCAGTGTATCTGCCAACATTGCGTGGATTCAAGCCAAGCATGATGCCTTTAAAAAAGGACATTATCCTCGTATCTTCCTGTGAGCAAGAAGACCCTTCAACAGCATCAATCTTCCTTGATAGAAAAAACCTGGTCCTCAATATGAGTTACGTGCCTCTGCCAATTGTCAGTCCTGTAAGGCTGTGGCCCTCGATAAATGCGGAGGCTGGGAAGCCTGGGCCCGAAGTACTTGGTACCTGGTCAGCCTAACAACTAGCCCGACAGCTTAAGTACCCTCAACCCAATCATGATCGGCTTGTCCAACGAATTAGGGCCAGGCTATCTATACTATCTCTTCCCGTGCGGAGGAAACACGATGCTGTCTGTCCAACAGCCCAGCCACCGACAGTCGATACTTCACAAGGAAATCAACATGGCTGGGCCTGCCACGTCCCTTAAAACTACCCAGCCATGCACATGGTCCCTCGAAGAATTTTCCATCCCTCCTTTCTTTCTCTTATCTTCCTCTTCTTCACCCCTTACGGAGGATTTCCGGTTCTGAAGGTCTTGTTGACCTTCCATCTGCATATCTACATTCCACCTCAGATCTATATATATATATATACTTCTCCCCGGGGAGAAGGACCGAACGAAAATGGTCAAAAAAAACATCACCATCGCGATTATCATAATCATCATCTTCATCATCCTCGCGCTGGCCGGCTTCGGCATCTACGCCATGCAAAACCACGTCTCCTTCTTCAAGAAACGGGCTGTTGATGAGGAGACCGTTGAAGAGGCGGGGTGACCTCTCCTTTCCACTTTATCACTGTTTATCGATTATGTCGACACGATCACGATCACGATCACGATCACGCTCACGAGCTTCCTTCTATGCTGTGCATGACTTTATGCATTACGATTTGAATTACCTTATACTACGCCATGTCTTTATGAATCACGCCGTTTGGCGAGGATCAGGCCTACGCTGTGCCTTCGCTCGACGCTACTCTATTTCGGAAGCGATGGGGCTGTGGTGAAGCGAGAAACGAACAAACAACATATTTATACATTGATCTATGTCGCTCATAGATATTTGCATCCATCCTCCGTGGATATGGGTTATGCTTGGGTTCTGGGGTTTGATTGATGTCCAAGTATGGGCAATGGCGCTTGGAGTTGGGTACATCATGCAATTGTTTGATTGAAAATACTTGCGACGGTATTATTTGTACTATACTTATACTACATGCGACCAGTACATATACACAAAATGACATGTCTTACGATTCATTAATAGATAGTATTGATATACGCAATGGAAAATGCTGATCAACCTATAATCTTCAGCCCGCCCCTCGTCTTGCCCGGCTTCTTGACGCCGTCGTGCTTGACCTTCCCCCGGCTTGACCTCCACCTTGGCCGCCAGCGTTCTTCTTCCCGCCCTTGGTATTAGTCGTCGGACGGATCTCCGTGGTGGCCCGTCGCAGCAGAATCGGATGTGAGCCAATGTACTTGCCCTGCATCTCCCTCGCAGCCGCGAAGTAGTCATCACCGTTGCTGAAACTGACAAATCCATAACCCTTGCTCTTCTGCGTGCGCTTGTCCCGAATGACTCGCGCTTTCTGAACGGATGAATACCTCGAAAATGCTTTCAGCAACGAGTCGTCGGTCACCTCGCCCGCGAGGTTCCCCACGAAGAGTCGGAAATGCGCCGGATCCCATTCTAGCAGAGTCGGATCGGACCACGTCTGGCCACCGCCGGATCGCACGACGGTCTTGGCATTTTGCTCTGGGTGGCCTGGCGCAGGTGTGGGCGTACTCGCCGCTGTTGCACTGGTCGGTGTGTTGGTTCCCACGGTAGCACCTGGCATTCCCGTAGCTCCGTCGCGACGACCTGCTACCTTGCCTCCTCCCGGAACTTCCTCCTTGTTGGCATAAGCGCTCTGCCACTGCGCAATTTGAGCTTCTGTCTCGGGATCTAGACCGGAGTCATTGCGTCCGTAATTCTTCCCCGTCCCTGTAGCGGTGAACGGATTCTGAATGTGAGGCACAGACGGGCCATAGGTGGTGTCGCTGTACTGGGCGGAGCCGTAATAAGACGGTGCACCCTGGTAGGTTTGCGGCGTCTGAGAGTAGTAACTGCCGTAGTTTGCAGCGGCCGGCGCCGAGTAACCCGCTGCAGTAGCTGGCGGCGTAGAGACGGCTGGACTGCTGGTACGGTAAGGCTGGCTGGAAACTACGGCACGAGGTTGGAATGCTGTGAAGGCATTATAGCCTGTCCGAGCGCCAGTCGCGCCATATCCGCTGCTGGCAGCTGGGGCCGTATATGAGGGCGCGGCCGAATATGCAGGTTGGTAAGATGCGGCGGCTGTGCCTGCGGATGCTGGTGGCCGCGCGGGGAGCGAAGATGGCGTTTGTTTGAGACCTGGAGGTGGCGGAAAGGACATGATGAACGGAGCGTTCGAAACAAGAGATACGGTATGGATGGTTTGATTGCGCCGCGTGCAGGAGTAGCAGCAGACACGTACCTTCAGGGCCTGACTGACGAGCAGTCACACGTCAGACGTCACACCTGAAAAAGGTCCCGAATCGTGAATCTATATTGATTTTGAGGCAAGTGAATGATGCACAATCGCAGTCTGGATTCTCGACTTGTATTCTTCAAATCGCTGTTCAACGGCGTAGAAAGTAATGGAAGATTGGTGGTAGCCTCGAAAGACGCAAGAGGCAGTCAATACTTTTGAGCAGAACGGAAAGATAAGCTGAAGTGTCTCAAAGGTATGTTTCGGGGAGAGTGTGTCGCGAAAGGCGTCGACAGGAGGTTTGAGTTTTTGTCCAGAGGCGATGATTGAATGGCAAGTGAGGTAGGTCAATCCAGCTTACTGTCCATGTTGCGCCAAGAGAAAGAAAACACTGCTGGTTCCTCTGGCCTGCCGTAGAGGTCTCCGGCTAGCGGCAAATCATTGTTCCCGAGCAGCGGCTCAGCCACGGACTCAATGACTAAGCCGCCCAACGGATTTACCACAGAATGATGCAACCCCCACCCTAAGCCGCTTTGGGTAATGCAATAGCCGGCAACGGGCGTCATGGGGGACGAGACCTTCTGCATCAGTAATCCATGAGATGCTGTGTTGTTCTTGAAATCCCGGTGAGTGGAAAAATCATCTTCTAGGCGATTATTCGCATCTAAACTCCGCTGGTGTAGCAAAACCTGGAGTGCTACTGACGGCTTATCAGATGGGTTCAGTATTCATGCATTTAAACTGCCAGAGTGCTAGACCGAATGCGACAAAAGCCCGGAGGAGGATGGTATAAGGTACTAAAAACCGAGTACAGACGAGTATAAAAGCCAACATTCCCACGGAGATAACAGAAAAGTAGCCATGCCTTAGCAATCATGGCTAATAATACCTTAATCTTGATAGACGGAGTAATTATTATCATATCGTGATCGGAAGTATATGGGCTCTTTTGCTTCACCGAACATACCTGACTTGGGAGACACTAGCACCGTTACCAGTTAGTCCAGCTCATTTTTTGGCTGTCTGCCCCTCCATGTGCAGCTCCTGTGCCCCGCCATCAACTACCGTCATCTCCGAAGTTCCTTGCTCTGTTTCTACAATGAGGGGCATTCTGTTCACTATTAAGGGACCTTGTGAGAGTGTGTATGAGTATACAGTGGCATATCCAGGGTTCTTCACAAAGGAGGATTGTAACTGCCTATGTAGTGCTCGAGGCCAGGTGCAGTTGTCGAACAATCCCACCATCCGTGGGATTGATTCATGATCAACTAATACTAAAGTAATCATCCGTAGTCTCCATGGATGCTTCCAGCGTTACTCTGTCTCCGTAGACTGCAAACTCACCGGACGACTCTGCTCCCTCACTTCCTTCTGGTGCCCCGCCCGTTGTCCACTTCTTGTCCTGTGCTGTGTCCCACCATGACGGAAGGTTGCTCCGTCAGCATCCAAGGTCCGTAATTAACTACACCTAATCCCTAGTAATAAAATAATAATAATAATCCGGCTCTGTTATCTTCTTCTCTCTTCCCTTCTTCTCCTTTTCTTCTTCTCCGTTATCCATTCTATACCCTCATCTTCTCCATCATCTTCTATTGGAGCTGTTTCTGTAGATTCCTCATCTACGGTCTATCTCCTTGAACTTCATCCCATCTATACCCTCTTCTCTATCTTACATCATGTCTGACCAAGCTGTGTAAGTACTCTTTGAGTTTATCCGCTTCCATCCACTACATCATCATCACTCTATCCCGTGGTTTTCGAACCCCTACGCTACCTTTGCGGCGTTGATGGCAACATCGCAAAGCTATACCTTGCGCTGGACAACCTGGCTCTTGAGCTATAAGGAGCTCAAAATTGAGCCTTGTTGATTTTTCAACCCTACCACCGTTGAAACCATGCATTTTCAGCTCCCCAATGAATCAATTCCCAGTTCTATCTCAACTCTTTACATGAGAATCTACCAACTGACTTAAAGCGCCCGTTTGGCCGGCATCAATGTCGGCGCACCGGCGCGTCCTTTACCTAGTGCTGATTTCGGTCTCATCGGTCTGGCCGTTATGGGCCAGAACCTGATCCTCAACGTTGCTGATCACGGTTTCACTGTCTGCGCTTACAACCGTACGACCTCCAAGGTCGACCGCTTCCTTGAAAATGAGGCCAAGGGTGAGGCTCTCACTGATAGGTTTCCAAGTGAGGGAACGCCAAACTAACAGATTCAATCCAGGCAAGTCCATTGTCGGTGCTCACTCTATCGAGGAATTCTGCGCCAAGCTGAAGCGCCCCCGCCGTATCATGCTGCTGGTTATGGCTGGCAAGCCTGTCGACGACTTCATTGAGTCTCTCCTCCCCCACCTCGAGGAGGGTGACATCATCATCGATGGTGGTAACTCCCACTTCCCCGACAGCAACCGCCGCACCAGGTACCTGAAGGAGAAGGGCATCCGCTTCGTCGGCAGCGGTGTTTCCGGTGGTGAGGAGGGTGCCCGCTATGGTCCCTCTCTGATGCCTGGTGGTAACGAGGAGGCCTGGCCCCACATCAAGGACATCTTCCAGAGCATTGCCGCCAAGAGCGACGGTGAGGCTTGCTGTGACTGGGTTGGTGACGAGGGCGCTGGTCACTTCGTCAAGATGGTTCACAATGGTATCGAGTACGGTGACATGCAGCTGATTTGCGAGGTATGCCACGTCTTTTTTCTTTTCTTTTCAGATACTCTGCAGGAACAGGCCACTAACGTGACGACAGGCTTATGACATCCTGAAGCGTGGTCTGGGCATGCCCGTCAACGAGATTGCCGATGTCTTCGCCAAGTGGAACAAGGGTGTCCTGGACTCGTTCCTGATCGAGATCACTCGTGACGTTCTCTACTTCAACGACAACGATGGCACTCCCCTCGTTGAGAAGATCCTCGACAAGGCCGGCCAGAAGGGTACCGGCAAGTGGACCGCCATCAACGCTCTCGACCTCGGCATGCCCGTCACCCTGATCGGTGAGGCCGTCTTCGCCCGTTGCCTGAGCGCCATCAAGGACGAGCGTATCCGTGCCAGCAGCCTCCTCGATGGCCCTACCCCCGAGTTCACCGGTGACAAGCAGGCTTTCATCGATGACCTCGAGCAGGCTCTGTATGCCTCCAAGATCATCTCCTACGCTCAGGGCTTCATGCTCATTCAGGAGGTAAGACAACTGCTCATCTGCCCCTAGGCTACATGCAATAACTGACAATAATTGATTAGGCTGCTCGCGAGTACGGCTGGAAGCTGAACAAGCCTTCCATTGCCCTCATGTGGCGTGGTGGCTGCATTATCCGCTCCGTCTTCCTCAAGGACATCACCAACGCTTACCGCAACAACCCCGACCTGGAGAACCTCCTGTTCGACAACTTCTTCAAGGCCGCCATCCAGAAGGCTCAGCAGGGCTGGAGAAACGTTGTCAGCAAGGGCGCCCTCTGGGGTATCCCCACTCCCGCCTTCAGCACTGCTCTGAGCTTCTACGACGGCTACCGCACCCGGGACCTCCCTGCCAACCTGCTGCAGGCTCAGCGTGACTACTTCGGTGCTCACACCTTCCGCATCAAGCCCGAGTGCGCCAACGAGAACTACCCCGAGGGCAAGGATATCCACGTCAACTGGACCGGCCGTGGTGGTGACGTGTCCGCTTCCACCTACGTTGTTTAAATTCTGACGGAGACACGACGCACTGCGCTGGACGTAAGACCTCGTTGCCCTGAGAGGAAAAAGTGACTCGGAACTGCAGTATGGCCTGTCTATGGCTTGGAGCCACATAGATGATGATGGTAAAAAATGACTTATATCAATGTACTTAGATGCATGTTTCTTTAATAGTTCTCACGGAAATGGATGAATGTTTTCCTGTTCTAGTACAAGGTTCTAGTACGAGTCATAGTGAATCAAAAGACCTTCGAACGATGTAGAAATACTTTGACATCATATTGCTACTGTAGAGAGAGGAAGTGTTGTATACATGATTTTGCTCATCATTGATGCCGCTAGACTCGATTGGGGCGGTGATGAGCTGCCCGCAGTGCAACGTTGTTCCATCTCCAAAACACCGTGACTCTCTCCGTCGACGACATCCACTGTCTTCCCTCGTCTTGAGCCAGCAGCCACAGCCAATCATCCTGTCTGCTTGGCAGTGACTCTTTTTTCCAATATTGTTGATTTTCTTCATTCTTGTATTGGTTGCATCGATTCATTCTTGTCGTTGTTATTGCTTTCTGCCGTCGCTCCTTTGTCTACCTCTTTCCCTCTTCCCGCAACGTCCCACTTCGTTGGACCTGGTCGACTTCATCACTGCGGCGAAGAACTGATTGCGGCGGACATCCTGAAATTAAGGGACGACATCCATTGAGTGAAAAATTGGGAGCAACTTCCTACGGTCGGCTTTCCGTTTTGTACCACTGCGGCTCGGTCGGCGCATTCTCGTCGATACAGCAGCTACCTTGGCTTCAGTTTCCGGAAGACCCAGGGGTATTTGATTGCCTCCTTTCGAACTTGCTTCTGTCGAGGGCGGCATTCATATGGCAGAGAACAAGCGCCACGGTGTCGGAGTGAAAGCACCAGCGCAAGGTCCCTCGGGTGCAGCTACGAGTGCGGGAATGGCAGCTGCCATGGTGCCGTTGGAAGTGGCATTGAGCGGCGCAATTGGCGCACGGTGAGTACTATTTCCCATGGGATGCTCTGGCGCAGCTGGAGCCTACAAGAACCCCCTATGTTCTCTAGCTGAGTGTTTTCCCGTGATAGCATTCGCATTAGTACTGCACCCCCCACATCTTCTACGATCGAGGGCACTCTATTCACCGCCTGTCCCATCACAAATCTCGTTGCTATCAATACAGCCGACGGCAAACAGACACAAGCGGGCGATTACCGCATTATCCCGGTATCGCGGATCCAGTCATTCCAGCTCCTGTCTCTTGCTCCCACTGCCAACTCCGCTGAAGGGCCCTCCTTCTCCGATGCCGTGCCTCCGGTGCATGCGCTTGACATTCGAGCCTTGAGGGCTCGAGAGGCCAGCGCCATAGCTAAAATGCAGGAGAGCGAAGCGCGGCGTGGAAAGGGTGTCACGAGGGAGGCACAGGAGATCTTCGATGCGTTTAGCCGCACAATGCCGGCACGGTGGGACGGACCCAACATTGTCGTGGCGGACGCCGTCATTATTGCGCCTCCTTATCATGTAGATGATTGCCGATCAATCGTGGCCGGTGATACGGCTGCTCTGACCAGAGTGCGCAAAGTGGTATGTACATCATACCCCTTTCAGTTCCCGTTTCAGCCCGCGGAACCCCAAAGCTAACTGTTCTCGTGTTATACAGCTTGAAATGGAGCGCAAGAAGATTGAACTTCGCAATGCCAGTACGACGATCGGCACGGCAGGGGCCTTTTCACGCTCTGCATCGGTCAAGGATACTCGGAACTCAGCTAGCGCAAGTCCTTCACCCGGGCCGGGTGCTGCTGGGCAGAGGAAAGGCGGTTAACGTGGATCTGAATTTTCAGAGGCTTACTCCCTAGGCATAATCAAGGCGACGGTATGTGGGGTGAAACCACCTGTCACGCCAAAATAGAGCAAGCATATTGCAGGAGAATAGGGCCTTGGACGACATGATGCATTTAACCAGACAGATAGAAGAAGGTGGTGATATGGAAGACGAAATATAGCAACGGACAACAACATACATTGAAGAGCTCGCCGGATGCTGAGCTGTCTCAATTCCTATGAAGGCAGGGTGGTCGGGGAGGGAATAGGATGCAAGTGTCCCTGGCTGGTAGACACTTGCCCAAACCAACCTAAGTGATCATACGAACAATTCAATTGCTCTTAGAGTAAAGTAAAGAGAAAACAATCCTATTTTTGCTTCTAGCCTATGAAAAAACTAAAGAACCTAAAATCAAACTGCGAAAAGTCTAATAATGAATAACCTCCAAACCGTAACGAAACCAACAACCACCACCCCGCAACCACAAAACCCAAACTAAGCAGAATTTTGCTCATCCTGATCACGACCGATCTTCTCAAGATTGAGCGCCGCACTGATACAGGCCAGATGGCTAAACGCCTGCGGGGTATTCCCCATCTGCTCGCCGGAGATGGCGACCTCCTCGGAGAACATGCCCAGGTGGTTCGAGTAGGAGAGGATATTGTCAAAGTGCGCGAGGGCGAGTTTCCAGAGGTTCGGGATGGGGACGTTGTATTTTGCGGCCTGGTTTGTTTTTCCTCCTTTTTTTAGTAAGTGATTAGGAGGGGGGGGAGGAATAGACAGTAGAACCTACGCGGGCCATGGCTTCGACGAGCCAGAATGTCACCATGATGAAGGCGCCTTCGCGGCCGCCGACGCCTGTTATGTTTTGTTTAGTCATGGGAATAAGAAGAGATGATGGGATGGGTACCGTCGCGAGCTTTCTCGTGGTCGTAGCGAAAGACCATCTTTGCGCTGGAGAGGCCCTGCTCATTGGGGTTCTGGAGGATTTTCTCCAGCGTGCTGACGAAGCGCGGGTCGTTGGGCGGGCAGAAGAAGACGAGCGGGGCGATCATGACGGCGGCGTCGAGGACGTCGCGGCTCTCGTAGCTCTGGGTGAAGTGGCCGCGGTCAAAGTTGTAGCCGCGCTCCATGATCTCGTCGTAGAGCTCGTCGCGGATCTGGATCCATTTGAGGCGGTCCGGGCAGGGCAGGCTGGAGCGCTTCTCGCAGAGGCGCACGCCGCGGTCCAGGGCCACCCAGAGCATGATCTTGGAGTAGAGGAAGTTCTGGATCTGGCCGCGGGACTCCCAGATGGACATGTCCTTTTCGTGGCGCACCTCGATCACGTAGTTGACCATGCGCCGGATGGCGAGCCACTGGTCGTAGGTGATCGGGTTGCCGTGCTTGTCGTACAGGTAGATGCTGTCCAGCAGCTCGCCGTAGATGTCCAGCTGCGTGTGGAAGACGGCCGCGTTGCCGATGCGCACGGGCTTGCTGCACTTGTACCCTTCCAGATGGCTCAGCTCCACCTCGGGGATCTCGTACTCGCCGCGGATGGTGAACATGAGCGGCAGGAAGGGCCGCTTCGAGCCCGGCCCGGCCTCCTGCTGCGCGTGCGGGAAGATCCGGTCGAAGATGAAGTTCACGTACGCCTCCGCCTCCTCGCTGTAGCCCATCTTGAGGAAGACGTAGAGCGTGAACGCCGTGTCCCGGACCCAGGAGTACCGGTAGTCCCAGTTGCGGCCGCCGCCCACGTTCTCCGGCAAGGAAAAGGTGGGCGCCGCCACGATGGCCCCGTGGGCTTGTACGTCAGTAGCTTAAGAATGAGCAGGCTCCTCTCCACGGTTTCCCGGTAGTGACCGCGGAAGGTGCACTGGCGGGTCCACCCGGTCCAGTAGTCGAACGTCTCCTCCTCCAGTTTGTCGAGGTAGGCTTCCATCATGGCGTCGCTGGGCAGGATCTTCTCGGGGCTGTGGATGACAAAGGTCATGCTCTGGCCCTGGGACAGTTTGATCCAAGCGACCAGGCCGCGGCCCTGCATGCCTGGCTTGTCCTCGATGCTGAACTTCACCTGGGGATATCCCACCCTCTCGACCTGCTTGGAATGGGCGAAGATCTCCAGTTGGAGTTTCTCCGTGTCACTCTCAAAGTGAACGGTCTGGAGTTGATGCTTGCTCAGATTGTCGTTGAGCTTGGACCGGGTGGTGTGGGCGTCCCGGGCGTAGTTGAACGCGGGGAAGATCTCCACTTGCAAGTCCATATTGCCCCGGCTGCAGTCCAGCTTCCTGACCACGCCGGAGTGCCGCAGCCCGGACTTGAACCGGTTGACCCCGGGCTCGTTGCAGGGACAATACCCGGACAGGATCCTGGCCGACTGGGCGCTCTTCTTGGGGGCCACGGGGAAGTAGTCGAGCATGGTCACCACGCCATCCTCGTTGGTCCATCGGGTCTCGAGCATATTGGAGTACGGCAGGTACCGCTGCTTATTGAGGATATTGGGGGTAGATGTAGGCGGGCAAACGCTGAAGTAGCCCCCTTTCTGGGTGTCTAGCAGGCGGCAGAAGACGCTCGGAGAGTCAAAGACAGGCCAGCACATGTAATCCATGCTGCCCTGTTTGCTCACAAGGGCACAGGTGTGCATGTCCCCGATGAGCCCGTAGTCTTCTATGGCATTGTAGGTAGTGGCCATGACGATGATCAGAGAGAGAAGGGGTGTTCCTCAGAGATCACGGACGTAGTTGAGGATAATGGTGATTCTCTTTTGAGTATCAAATTCAGCTATTGCGTGTCTGCAATGGCTGGAGTTGCTAGACAGCACAGGGGATGGAAGAAGCTGATGAGAGGGCGGCCCGTATAGGGCCAAACTGTCTCGTAATATCCCTCTAAGGATTATTTCATCCCTGGTGCTTCTGGACATAGCAACGACATGATGATGATGCTGGTGGTCATGATCGTGATATCCTCTGCTTTCTTCTATTCCGATGCAGTCACCGTATCGGGACTGCACTATGAAGGAGAGAGCCTGGCCATGGGAAGCTCCAGCGATGCAGATGATGGAATTGAACCATCACCGTGAGAGATTCGAAGGCGCCGAATCATATGCACATCCGAAGCTCATTGAGTTTTATCCAGTATGTGATAGATCATACATCCTCGGTTGGAGGTTGTTGATTTGGGCTGGAAGAGTCCAGCCTTGGAGATGCATATCCGGATTTCTATGGAGTACGGAGTATGGTGTACCTTTCGACTCGCCAAGAATAACAATCACTGTTGCTCCCGTGACTTCTCACCGTCTCTTCTCCTTTCTCCATCTCTATAACTATGCAAGTTCCTCTTAGTCAACTTTGGTAATTTCAAGATGGTTTCTATCTTCAATCAGGACGGAATGTCATCAAGGTCGTCAAAGACCTGTATAATCCCTGCATTTAGTCGAGACTGTGATATCATGCCCTTCATCATAGTTGCATAAGTTGTAGGGCTTCGGCCTACGGAGTAAGGCATGAAGTATCGGCCTCGGACATGGCATCCACCAATTGTGGCTGAGAACAATATTAATATTGACCGCATTGTTATTATTATTAATCGGTTGAGACATTCTTCATGGTTAGGTAGGCAATTGGACCTTCTTATAAACATTCGTCAAGGTTAGCTTAATTAGATCCTAGATGGTTATCCATGGGCTGGCCTGGAAGACTGGATTGTCTTTCACCCTTTCGGATAGCTTTCTTCATTGGCATCAAGGAAGGATATTAAGGATGATAAGAATCATGAAGAATGATAACGATTATGATATTAACCCCGGATCGTCCGGAAGGGACCAACAGCAAATGATGACCCTACAGGATTTTCATCCACAAGGCACAACTTCCGTGCATTATCAGAGATTTCGGGGCCTCTTACAGGGAGGTTAAAAGGAATCTAGGGTCAGCCGGACCCAACGACTAGACTCTTCCTAGGCAAGACGAAGAGGACTAACAGGGGGCTAAAGCAGCCAAGAGTCAGTTCTCCATTGATTATCATTATTAGCGAGGTATCACAGGCAGAGGAGAGTCATTTATTACTGTCTTTTGCTTCAGTCAGTATCACAACAGTGTGATGACCTTGTTTCGGGTACAAATTTCTTGTCTTCTGTCATTGACATCATGCCAGGTTAGGCCAGGCAATGAATGATAACAATGGATCATGGATATCATCATGGTTATTGTTAACTATGGCCTGTGGAGGATGTCCCTGCCCAAGGTACCTTTTGTAGGGGATCGTCGGCCAAAGGTTACCTGACCCCTCACTCCCTAAAGTTTGGATCTGGGGGCTGTTGTCTGTTGATCAACTCACACGACTTTCTGATATTGCAGCCTTTGCAGAGTGGAATTAATGATCTGTGCAGATACATAGACTAGACTAGAATAATAAGATGGACAGATAACTATGGAGTAAAAGCAGAATTAAAAGTAGAGAACTCGTCAAAGGTCATTTAGGCATGATCCTGATTGATGACTGTAAACTAAGAACTAGATCTATCCATCCATCTATCTTAGTATCCTAAGTTCTTCCTCCTCTTTTACTCCTAATAAACTTCGTTATTTCCTCCATCCCAACCCATCGCGCCCTTGCATCAAGTCGGGGCGGTGTCTTCACTTTTCCTTTTCTCTGTATCTACGACAAGAAGTTTGCCTACCTGCAATATCTCTCATTTTTACCCCTTTCGTCCTGGGCTGCATTGATTCCTTTCCTTTTTGTTTTCTTTTTCCTTTTTTCCTCTTGCTCCTCCCTGTGAGCAGTCTTATTGTCAGTATTATCATTCATTTCTGCCATACGGAAGACTGTCGATATCCCTGCATCTCCCACGAGACCTGTCAGATCAATTGATCTTCGACTCTGCATTCCTTTGTGCCCTTATCAATTCCCTCGAGCTCTCCAGCTGTGATCTCATTCAATCCGACTGTCATCCACTGGGGCAAATCTTCGCGTTTATTTATCAATCGCTGATGGATTCCACTGCGCCCTAGCAGATCCGTATTTTCCTCCCTCGCTGTGTCTCTCCTTATCCTTTTCCCTTGTTTATTCTCCTTTTTCCCCTTTTACCTCTACATATAAACCTTACAAAATGGGGCTGTCACCGGCTGGAAGTCACCATCGACGTCGAAGCTCCGTCCTCACAGGCGCAGGACCCTCATCGCTGGCCGCCCCGACCGAACAGAGGGAGGATCATTCCAGAGCCATTGGCGAGGCGGTCAACTACAAGCGCGACGAACAGAAACCCTTGACGGCCGATGACGCAGACGTCTCCGATCTATCTTCAATCGCAGAAAGTGTGGAGATGGATTATGTGAGCTCTGACGATGAGCTCCACGATGATGAAGAAACCGGTCTCACAGCGAAACAACGACGTCAGAGACGCCGACGGAGGAAACAACGGAGGCAATTGGATGCTCGCATAGCTGATGTCAAGTCCTCCCGATATGATATCCTCTCGATGGGCTTAGCAGATCGGAACGTCGTCAAGAGACTGCTTGTCAATGCGTGTCTCATCCTTCTGTGGTACTTCTTTTCTCTGTCGATCTCCGTTGTAAGTGATCCATCATCCCCGACCCCTGCCTTTTGCGGGGAGAAGCCGAACTCTAGACTTTGCATACTGACTCTCTTTCCTCTGCTTAACTAGTACAACAAATGGATGTTCTCCGAAGACCGTGTTGTGTTTCCTTTTCCTCTCTTTACGACTAGCTTGCATATGCTCGTGCAGTTCAGTCTGGCATCCTTCATTCTTTGGTTGATCCCAGCGCTGCGCCCGCGACACCCTTCGTCCACCTCGTCCGGTTCACCGTTCAGAAACAGTCATGATGCCTCCGAATCGACTCCCATTCTCACAAAACTCTTCTACCTCACCCGGCTCGTTCCCTGCGGCGCAGCGACGTCCCTCGACATCGGGCTGGGCAACATGTCCCTCAAGTTCATTTCCCTCACCTTCCTCACCATGTGCAAATCCTCCGCTCTCGCCTTCGTCCTTCTCTTCGCTTTCATTTTCCGACTGGAGACGCCCTCCGTCAAGTTGATTTTTGTCATAGCCACCATGACCGTCGGCGTGGTCATGATGGTCGCCGGAGAAACAGCCTTCAATGCTGTGGGCTTCGCTCTAGTCATCGCCTCCGCCTTCTTTTCGGGTTTCCGCTGGGGACTGACTCAGATTCTACTCCTGCGGCATCCGGCTACCTCCAACCCCTTCTCCACCCTCTTCTTCCTCACTCCCGTCATGTTTGTCTCGCTGATTGTCATCGCTCTGACCGTTGAAGGCCCTGCCAAGATCGCCGACGGCTTTGCCGCTCTGTCAGAGACTCATGGCGGCGTCTTTGCCGTCTTCCTGCTAATCTTCCCCGGGGTGCTGGCCTTTTGCATGATCTCAGCCGAATTCGCTCTACTGAAACGTTCTTCTGTTGTCACACTAAGTATCTGCGGCATATTCAAGGAAGTCATTACGATCAGTGCAGCAGGCGTCGTGTTCCATGACCAATTGACCGCGGTCAATATTGCGGGTTTGCTTATTACCATTGCCAGTATTGGTTGCTACAACTACATGAAGATTTCCAAGATGCGTTCCGAGGCACAACGAGGCACCTGGGAGCGCAGCCCGAACTTGGACTCGGAAAGTGACGACTCCGGTCGTGCTCGTTCCCGTTCGCGTGGAACGTATCACAGAATTAGCGATCCGGAAACCAGCATGGTCACTCCGGTGTCGCCAGTGCCTACAGGTGACAACCTCGCTCCCGTCGATGGCTTGATTGGCGATCGGCGCTCGTTCCAAGTGCGGGCCAGCGGGGCCAGTAGCAACATTCATGGACTCACAATTTCCACCGGGAATCTGAGCGATAACGAGAGTCGACCGTTCTCCCCGCGTCTGGCTGGTCCGTCTCCGCTCAAGTCCGCACCGCCGGTAGTCCTGACCGCCGACTCCCAATTTCCGCCCCGTGTGGGACGAGGCCCCAGCGCTGGAGGGAACTTGCAGCCGTCCACCGAGCGGGCAGTGTCGGGAGAAAGATCTTGACCAGGTGCACTTGGATTGTACGACTCTTTCCATCGAAGCCACTGGTTTGGTTTCAAGTCCCTGTGCTCGGCTTCTGTCCGTGGCAAGGCGTATCCTGCAAATCTTCCCATCCTGTCAGTCTGGAACTAGCGGGACGGGAAAAGGGCGGTGCTTGGATGGTCACCCTGGGTATCGTTATTGATATACACGGTGGACATCAGTGGATTTCTGTCATCGAAACTCGTGGGGAGGTATAGATGATCGAGCTGCGAATAGCTCGTGCACATAGTTGCAATTGACGTCCCGGGTTGACGGGATGTTTCCGTTTTCGTTTTCGAGTGATACCAATGATTACTTTGACAATGCTGTCTATATATCCTCCGAGTTGGCCTATTGGTCTTGGTTCCTTAGTTAGTTTGAAATCTCGCATGACAATACCCATGTTGCAACGTGATATTGTTTGATACCTCGCTCTATCAGAGTTGAAGTAATGGCAAGCATAATTTCCAGCCATCAATTTTCTTAGATAGCATCATGCGTAGTGTCATCCGTTCGAAATCATTTAAGAGTCACGTAGTACATAAGAGCCGCAGTCAAATTGCGGCTAATCAATGGCTCTGACATCCTTCATCCTCACTCTCTAACTCATTCTCGCTCTCGCTCTCAGCCTCCTTTTTAGCCCCTTCCTCTTCTTCCCCGAGGTCTGCATCATCTCCATCACCGTCTTCTGGCCCTTCCCCGCGCCCGCAGCTTTATTCTTCTTCTTCTCTTCGGCCGCCAGTTTCCGCTCATACTGCTCCTGGTGTTTCGCGCGGAATTCGCGGCCCTCCTCGGCGAGCTGGGCCTCGAGGGCCTTGAACTCGGGGCTTTCGGGGTCCATGCCGATGAGGGACTCGAGGAGGGCGATTTCGCGGGCCCAGACGGATGGGTCCGGAACGAGAGCCTTCGCGCCGGCGGGTTTGGACTTGGTCCGCTTGGGGGTCTTTTTCTTGCTGTTTTGCTCGGGTTCAACTTCGGAGTCAGCGGCCGGGTCGGCCTCGGCGTCACTTGCTTCGTCCTTGATGTTTGCGGCGGCGGTTGGGTTGGCGGGGCGGTCGATGGGCGTCTCGAGGATCATGGGAAGGCCTTCGAGGCGCGGGTCGTTCATGATGTTGTGGAAGGCGCGAAGACCCAAAAAGCCTGTGCCGATGTTGGCGTGGAGGTCGCGCTTGCTGCCGCGCGGGGCTTTGGAGTCGTTGAGGTGCAGGGCGCGGAGATGCTGCAGGCCGATTTGGTCTTCGAATTCCTTCATGAAGGACTGGTAGCCTGCTGGCGAGGAGAGGTCGTATCCTGCTGCGAAGCTGTGGCAGGTGTCGATGCAGATGCCGATGCGGGGGTGGTGCTCGCGCGGGATTAGGGCGAGGAGATCCCGGAACTCGGGGAGGTAGCCGCCGATTGTGGTGCCGTGGCCGCACATCGTCTCGAGGACGGGGACGACGGTTGAGGTGGCTTCGAGGGCGTTGGTCAGGGCCTTGGCGAGCCTTGAGAGGGCCTCCGAGAGGCTGCTTTGGTTGGCGCTTCCGGGGCTATGGGATGGATGGTTAGTGAATGACCGGAGTGGTACTGGTAGTGATGATCTGAGCCTCACTGGAAGTTGTAGAGAGTGATTCCAAGCGCTTCGCAGCGGCGGAGATCGTCTACGAACGAATCGTATGCCTGCTTGGCCTTGGTCTTGTCCTCTTGTGCTAGGTTGACGAGATATGAGCCATGGGGGAGTATGTGCCTGTGCCTGGTCAGTATTGTCAGGTCAATAAAGTCACGGTGACTCTGTGTACTTACTTTGCGCCGTCATACTTGTGTTCCAGACACATCTGACGGAACTGATCTCGATGATCATCTTGCAGGGGAGGGTTTTCCCACTTCCTCTGCGATTTTAGGAAGAGGGCGAATGAGTTACCACTAGAGGTCACATCAGCCAACATTCATACTCAATCGGCCAGGATCTTCTTATAGTACCCGATGTGCATGCTGTTATGCACGGCATTGAAAACTCCTAACGTCATGAACATGATTAGCTCTGCCAGGGAAATGCCTATCGAGTAACAGATGAGGATCCAACCTTTTGCGGCACTGACATGGGCCCCTACGCACATGCGCACACCTTGAGTTCTGGCTCTCAGAGGAGGCATCTCGAGCTCCTTTTCCCGCTTGGTCTTCCTCTTTCTCGAGATCTTTCCCGTCACTGTAGTGGTCTGATCTGCGTTGTCTGGCTCTGCCTGACTCCCTTTTTCCAGCTTCGTATTAACGGTTATCTCGATGTCCTCCTCGACTTCTTCCTTTACCGAAACTCTAGGCTGTGATTTCCTCTTTTGTGGAGACACTCCCGGCTTCTTTTGCCTCAAATCGACAGCAGATGGGCCGTCGATGATTTCGGACTGGCCTGGGACTGGCGAAGCATTTAATGCCTCGGTCGACTTGAACCGCTTGGATCGCCTCAGCGGTGAGCTCTGCTCTTGCAGCTCGTCAATGTCTCTCTTTTTGTTCTTCGTTGGGTCGCTTCTTCTCGGGCTCAGCGGGGAGGATTCGGAGACGGCGCCGGACGTCACATTGCGGGATCGTGGTGGCATCGAGTCTGGAGGACCATATAGTATGTTACAGAAACGAAGAAGGCGCAACAATAAGAATACCCCAGTTGAAGGTGTCGAGTTGAGTTGGCTCAGTTTTGATGCTTCAATGTTCGCGGAGGCGGAGAATCGTAGTTAGACGCGTGGTACTGCGACGTGACATCCGAGTGTCACTGCACACTCAATTTACCAATATTTCTTAATTATTTTATAGACTATCATATGTCTCCAAAAGCACAAACGTCTATACGTCCTTCATTATTTCATGTGAGACTTCGTCTAGTAAATTTGCAGCTTCCAACAGGCGAGGCCGTCCTTCGAATATTACCAAGTAGAGGATAGCGTACACGTGACCAGTAGCCAGGGCAACCGAAAGGGGCTGTTTATCGATAAACGGAAACTTGCGTAGCTATCGACCTCAACTTTTTCTCTCGACCTTGTCCAACAATCCTTCGACTCACGACTTTTCCGACTTCCTCAATCGGCAATCTGACGCACTCGAATTGGGATTGACGATTTGTGCCCTTGACGAATATTTTCACGACTCACGCCAGAACAGTCCCTTGGGACCGCACGCTTGTTTATCTGTCGCCGCCATGGCGGCCTCCGAGGATCTCATCAATTTTGATATCATCGAGAATCAGAAGGAGAACATTCAATCATTACCAGGAGGACGCTCAGCCAAGGAGCTTGCTCGCATCTTTTCACCCAGAGACCCTAGTGATAAACTCGCGGCTCCATCACCCAACGAAACAAGGACACTGAATGATGCCATTCGACAGGAGTACGAGGCAGAACTGCAGGCTATTGACGACTCAGACGACCCGCTTGATATTTATGACCGCTACGTGAAATGGGCACTGAACGCATACCCCTCTGCACAAGCAACCGCCGAGTCCGGTCTTCTTCCTCTACTTGAACGCGCCGTCAGGGCATTCCTCTCGTCAGCCCACTACAAGAATGACCCCGCTATCTGCGGCTATGGCTTCACTACATTAGGCTCTTTTCAGACTCTCCGCGCGAGACTTTTGCATTTTTAGCACGTCACCATATCGGTGAAGGGCTCGCGCTTTTTTATGAAGAGTTCGCCGCTTGGCTCGAAGGCGCTGGACGTTGGACGCAAGCCGAAGAAGTGTATAGACTGGGGGTTGACCGTGAAGCTCGACCAACTGAACGATTGATCCGCAAATACAGCGAGTTTCAGAAGCGCTACGAGCAGCGCACACAGGATAATGGACCATCATCACCCGCTTTACCAGCGGTGCGACCCGCACTGGCTGCGAAGGTCGATCCGTTTTCTCTGTCTGCACCCCCGGCTGCTGATCCGCAAACTCAACGCCCCGCTCCTGCCGCTGCTGCGGCTGCCCCGCGGACGAAGACCGGGAAGCCGAAGATGGCTATCTTTTCGGACGCCGACTCAGCAGCAAGCCAGCCCGCTGTATCAGGACAGACCAAGGGATGGGACAGCATTGGGTCGATGCACGAGAGACGTAAGGAAAACAGCGTGGAGGCGAAGCCGTGGGCTGGGGAGACATTGAAGGCAGGAAAGAAGGCTGCTCCGAAGGAGAAGATGCCGATCTTCAGGGATGAGGTGAGTTCATGTTTACTGTTCTGTCACCCTTTCTTGAAATTCCATATATTTACGATCACAGGACTAATTGGTGGCATGTACCGAATCTCGGTTTACGTTTTCATGTATTCAGTCAAATCCAAATCTATCTGTCGCAGAAACGATGCAAGCAAAACAAGTTCCAGATCATCATGTAAGGGAAGCGGTAAATCCTCGAACCGGACGACGAGAGCGCGTTTTCGTCAATCTTGAGGCAGTATATCCTGATTATAGGGATCCAACCAAAGAGATCAGCTTTGAAGAACTACGGGCTATGCGCCGTGGGTGGATGGATAAAGTCTGGCGCTCGCAGAAAGCACCTTTCAAAGAGATATCTGGCAATGTCGCTGGTTCAGAGCCTCCGGCGGGAAATGTGATTGAGCAAAGTCTGGATCAGGGATTGTCAGAGCAATTTAGTCAAAAATTGAACGTGAAAGATACAGGCTCACAAGGGACGCAGCGGGCGATTGAAGATGGATTGAATGAGAGCAAAGCTGGCAAAGCACGGAAAATAAAACTACGAGAAGTCAAAGGCGAGACACAAACAAGTAAGTAGTATCTCCTACTGGGTTCTCGTCCCTCAATTATGAATTCCTCACTAACTGTTGACAAACTCTCCAGTCAAAATGAAGTTCGACTCTCCGACAGGAGGCAAGATTCGGCGCAAGAGCACGGCTGAGCCGACAATGACAATCCATACTCGCGCTGCAACCGACGAGATCTACAGCATCTTCAATCAGCCACTCAAAGCAGAGACAGAGAATGTAGCGGATAGTAGTGACTTTGAGGATGACGACTACACGAGTGCTGGTGAGAGCACATGTACTGGTCGCATCTCCGTCACCTCCAGTGACTTCTGCGACGACGAGACAACTACCTTCCACAGATCTGATGGTGAAGCCGAGGAGGAGGACTTTGAAGACCAGACGCAGGCCGAGAGTGTTGTTGACGGTGAATGGACTCAGTTCTCCACTAAAGAGGACCCAACGCATTCACTGGGAGTGGATCCCGTCTCACCCCATGAGAACACATTGGACGCTGAAGAGACAAGCAGGAGAGAAAGGTTTGTGCCTGAGATGCCAGAGGACTATAATCCACCTTATGGTCCGTATCGAGATCCTGCAGTAGTCGCGCAAAATCGTCTACCTTTTATGACACCGATCGTGGAGCAAACTGAGCACTCTCTCCCTTCCATGACAGCAGCTCGAAACACACTGTACAACACCAAAACGCCATCCAAACCGCAGATGGGAAACCTCTTTACCACTCCGCTGATTGGTGCAACACCGCAGCAAACTGAGAATCTCACTGTGTTCTCTGAGGATGTCGCGATGAGTCCAACAGTGAAGAAAGCTCGCTCCGGCCTTAAGATACTATCGCCCTTGAAGGAACAACAACAGCATCGGGTTATTATCGACGATGCCCAGTGTAATCCCACAGACAAGAACATTCGCAACACCATTCTTCAGGCCGTGGATCCGCCGCTCGCATCCTACCCTGGGTACCATGGTCACCTTGAAGTAGAAAGCCACTATGCGCCTGCGATCCAGAAGTTTATCAAAACACATGTGAAGCGTCCTCGAAGCGGTGACGAAGCGTCCTTCGATGTGCCAATTCTCGAACTACCCGGAGCACAGAGATGTTATATCATCAGGCGAGAACTTGGAGCCGGAGCCTATGCGCCGGTGTACCTTGCGGAAAGTGTCGAGAGCCTCGAGGACTGCCCGTCCTCCGATTCGGAAGTCGAACCCGCAGACGATGACAGTCGAGATTCCCAATCTACGAACGGAAGAAAAACGATAACCCGCAGTAACTCCCGTTATGGCTTCGAAGCGATCAAACTGGAAGTCGGGCCTCCAAACGCATGGGAATTTTACATGATTCGGGTCGCTCACGAACGCTTAAGCCAATTACCAGAGCTATCCCGTGCGACTGACAGTATCATCCGCGCCCACGAGCTTCACGTGTACAGAGGGGAAAGCATTCTCGTGGAAGATTACCGCGGACAGGGAACACTCTTGGATCTGGTTAATCATATGCGCAACGAGTCAATCAAGGCCAATGGCACTGGAGAAGGCGGTCTGGACGAGGCTCTTGCCATGTTCTTCACTGTGGAGCTATTCCGGACCGTTGAGGCCCTTCATTCGTGCGGCATCCTGCACGGTGATATCAAAGCTGACAACTGTCTCATTCGCTTCGACGACAAGGCCACTGCGACCTCTCTGATCCACTTGGAAGAAGAGATCACCGACCCGCGCGAGATCTACTACTCACCTCGCGGTCTGTGCGGCTGGCGCAACAAGGGCCTGTCGCTCATCGATTTCGGCCGCGGTATAGACATGCGAGCATTCCGGCCTTCTGTACAGTTCATTGCCGACTGGGAGACCGGCGAACACGAATGCAACGAGATCCGCGAGATGCGACCCTGGACGCACCAGATCGATCTGTACGGCCTCGCGGGAACGGTGCACGTCATGCTTTTCGGGAAATACATCGAGTCGACTCCGGTCCGGAAAAGCGAAGGCGGCTCGGCGTCCGTGCGGACGTACCGCATCCGCGAGTCACTGAAACGGTACTGGGACCGGGAGATCTGGACCGACGTTTTCGACCTGTTACTCAACCCATATACCGAGCGCTGGACGCGCATGGAACTCGACGCCGTGGGCCCGGATGGGGATCTCCCCAACGCTGAGAACCAGCCAATCCTCCCTGTCACTCATTCCATGCGCTATGTGCGGGAGAAGATGGAAGCCTGGCTGCTCGCAAACGCCGAGAAGAAAGGTCTTGGTCTGCAAATTCGGAAGCTGGAGGCTGTTTTCGCCGAGAAAAAGAAGAGATTGGAACGGAGCTAGCTGCCTTGTCGTTTGCTTGACTTGATTTGATACATCCTATTCTAATGATGGTTACGATCCCGCATCTTATACCCTGTTGCCTTTCTTTGCCTTTTGTTTCTCCTCTCCGGCAGCGTTGGCGTTGGATTTCAGACTCGGTTAATTCCTGATCATACTTTACTTTACCTTACCTATTTCTTTTGCAAATGGATTGTTCATAGCGAGGCCTACGCTTATGCAAATCTTCCGAGTAGAAAGTAAATGGATGGCTTGATTAAATTGCAGACATTGGCACTCGCTGACGAAGTCTGAGGTCTGAATCTAATGCAAGCAATAAGGTTAGGCTACGACTGAGCACTACCAGTCAAATGAAAATAATCATTCCTAATCTGATGGAAGATCAAAAAAAGAATCGAAGATGAAAATAGCTTAAAATAAAAATGCATAGATGCATATGCGTAAAATAGCTAGGCAGCAACGAAGCCACGAAGCTAAGTAAGCCAACTGAATGAATCGAATGAGATCAAGTGCGTTGAAACGCTGCAACGACAGAACAGGAACGA